ATAGAGCGAAACTTAATGGTTGACGACCTCCTTTTAACATCACCAAGTTGCCAGCAAGTGATGCCAAGTGGACTGAAGTCACCGAGCCACTTTTATCTCCAAGTGCTTATATTCTGGTGCAAAAGAGCAAAGCTGACATAATGGAGTCCCAGATCTGCCATAGAAGACTGCATTGGACAGGATTGGATTTACTCTCTCTGCTGCCTCAAGGCCAGGTTCCTTAATGTGCCCCCCCTCCCTGCCAAATTCCCCCCCAGGTGGCGGGGTGGCACGGTTGGTTTACATTTTAATTTTTTTTTCTTAATTTTGTAAAAACTTTTTTATGACTTATTCAAAACAAGCGGCCGCTTCCCCGCTGTACATTGAGCCCTGCTTTTCCAAAGCAGGGCTAAATGTAGAAAACAACTACCCACTCTGCGCTCAGAACTGCATGTCCCGGGCGTCAGGAGATAGGAATTCCACACCCCTGCTGCCCCTCTACTCGCTGCTCCCCCGAGGCCGGGCCACGGGTGCCCTTTTGGGTAATTCGGCCCTGACTGCAGATCCTTGCACTTATGAAGCCCTGCTTAGCAACATCAAGGATAAAGAGCACCTGTATTGTAGCAATAGACAATGAGCGTTGAGGGAAGGGTAGAGTATATAGCAAGGGTAGGCCTGTGGCTGTCAGTATTGCAATGCCTCGGGGGACTCGTAGTTCCACAACATCTGGAGGCCCACAGTTTGGTTATATGCCCAATGGCATATAAACACTGGTCCATTATCCTCCAGTGATGGTTTTGGTGTATTTTTGAGTTTCGTGTTTAAGGACTGCTCTGGTCTTGTTTACCTCCTTTATTGCCATGCCAAAGTTAGTCACAAACTAAAAATATATAATAATTATTTCTAAATTGAATTTCCATATGCTCTATCCCAGTCCTAGTAACCATAAAACATACTTATTGAAGATGCCTATCGGACAGGGGTGGGCCACTCCAGCCCCTTGGCTGTGCCTTAACTACAAATCCCCTCGTGCCTCTGTCTCTGGGAGTCATTCCTATAACTTTCAGTCTTGCAATGCCTCATGGGGCTTGTAGTTCTGCAACAACTGGAGGACTGGAGTTGCCCACTCGTGCCATAGGATGTAGTTTCTCTGTGCACTGATGCAATTTCACTTGGCCCTGTGAATATGCAAGTCCTCATCTTCTGAACTACAACGCAATGTTTGAACAATGTAATATTATCATTGCTTGCTGAAAGCATTGCATAATGGGATATATAGTCTTGAGACATTGTGATTGCAGCAGAGAAAGAGATTCATAGCACTCTAGGAGTCCACGAAGTTATTATTATTATTATTATTATACAGGATTTATATAGCGCCAACAGCTTGCGCAGCACTTTACATTATAAGGAATACATTACAATTCAATTCCAAGACAAGATGGTAAGGAGGGCTTACAATCTAAAGGGTGAGTTGATGAAAGTGATGGGCGGACAGAAGGCAGGACACACTACTTAAGAGGGATTTTTTTTTCAAGTAAGCTTTATGAAAAACAACTCTAGTATTTATTCCTATTACAATGCTGATGTTATAACAGGATAGTAAATGTTTACAAATCCCTAAAGTGCAGCCAGCTAGAGATAGCTATGTGGGCTGCACCACCCGGGTCACGTAGATGCAACATTTTCATGTTTGGTTCGAAGGGCACCTTTTTTAATATTGGATTTATCTTTTTTTGCTTCTGGAGATCATATCCAAGCAAGTGCTTTCATTGGTATCCTAAAGCGGATGCATCACATTCAATTAAAAAGAAAAAATGGCCGTGTTATTTAAACACAAATAAAATGTATCATCTGAAACATTTGCAGAAGTTGAGGTCATGCCAGCATCTTTGTGGTGGTTTTATGTTTTGTCATATTAATCGTTAAATCGATCTCGCTGTATTACTGAGTCACGAGAAGCCTACTATCTGTATTTGTCATCTGGCTTTCTGGGTATTTTTTTTACCAGCTGGAACAAAGGAAGGAAGGTGTGGGTTGAGCACTGCAACAAGAGTGACTGTAGTTCATGTAGTGCATTTTAAAGCAGACATTGCCAAAAAATAACAGTTACTCTGGATTGTCCATTGTCCAGTAAAGGAATTCAGAATGTGCAAAAATATTTCTTTTTTAGAGGGTAAAATCCTTTGTTCCACTCATTCTGTGTATCAGTCAAGCATTCAGGGAATGCCGCGGTGTTGGGCTACATTTACACTGTGCGTTATGGGGAATCCCAAATCTGTTTAGATGTGGCTGCTGTCGCCCATTCAAGTTCATGACCAGGTGACATCGGCTGCATTTGTAAGCAACACTCCGCATCCAAATCCGTTGGTGCGTGCTGCAGGAATCTCAGATCGCATAGTGTGGATGAAGCCGAAAGCTGAACTGCAGGTTAAGCAAATATTTGTCTAAATACAGGAGAAATATGTAAACTTATAGAGCTGCAGCTAACGATTATTTTCAAAATCGATTAGTTACCCGATTATTAAGTTCGGTTAATCGGATAAACAATAAAATACATTTAAAAAAATGGCTCCAGTGATGGACTACTAGTTTGTATTGAGATTGCACTCCATCACAGGAGCAAGCTTGGAGCGGTGGAAAAAAAAGTAAAAAAGAAAAAAAATAGCGTGGTGTGCAATATAGTGAAATGGAAAGTGTAAATGTATACAGCAATGAATGCAGAATGGCACCGACTATAGAGGACTACAAATCCCAGCAATAGTACATTATACAGCGCAATGCAGAATATCACCAGCTATAGAGGACTACAACAAATCCCAGCAATAGTACATTATAGCTGGTGGTATTCTGCATTGCGCTGTATAATGTACTATTGCTAGGTTTTGTAGTCCTCTATAGCTGGTGGTATTTGGCATTGCACCACTGTATAATGTATTATTGCTGATGGTGCATTGCTCTGTATAATATACAGCACAATGTACCATCAGCTATAGAGGAATACAAATCCCAGAAATACATTATAGAGCACCATGTGCGGGAAGTGCAGGCTTACCTAAGCAGTCTTCCAGCAACTTGCCTCTGAGATCGGACCTGTCTATCGGCGGCTGTCATCCCCCCACACCTGCTCCTCCTTACTACATCTCCCCGCGTCCCTGTGCCGATCGTGGATGTGGGTGGGCGGTGAGTGTGAGGCGGGGAGGAGGTGCGGCGTGAAGAGCGTGTGTGGAGCCGTGAACAGGGCTAACTGATCGGAAGCCGATTAATCGATTATTGAAAAAGTTGACAACTTTTTCAATAATCGATTATAATCGATTATGCCGATTAGTTGTTGCAGCCCTAAT